ACACACACACACACACACACACACACGCACACACACACAAACACACACACACACACACAAACACAAACACACACACACACACGCAAGCACACACACACACCACAAACACACTACAAACACACTACAGACACACTACAAACACACAAACGCGCGTGCAAGCGGGTGTACACTCTTTCTCACTAAGCGAGATAGGACAGTACACCCAAAAGGTCTGTCTCAGAGTATACCAGCATGTACTCTGACAACTGCAGAAGATGACCATCCGTCTCAACACCTTCACATGACGCAGTTGTGCTTAAACTGCTGCTTCATTCATCCATGCACATCGCTTGAATGAATGCAAGTCAATTGCGGCGGACCTACCAATGCCACATGTCTACTAGAAAGTGCTTTACCCACAAACGGAAGAATGGAATGTTGTGGCGCTTGGACCACAAAGGCGAATGTGACACCGGCATAGCAAAAGGCATAATGAAGTCCAGGTACCTACCCACATAATGGGAGTAGTCCTAGACCACCATGGACAATGTGCCATCAGCCCCCCCCCCCTCGACGTCCCCCCCCCCCCCGTCAAGTGCCAAAACTACCCATCTGTGCAGGAAAATACACCGAAAGCATGGCTGTGCCGGCAAACGGCCGGTTGGACCGGCCCGGATCCAACCGGGCCGGTTGGACCCCCGGYGGTCCAACCGGAATTCCGGTTGGGTCCAAAAGTGGGTAAAATTTTTTTATTTTTATTTTTTGAAAACATGGTTGGACTGCGCTCACCGAGATCTCCCCGAATCCACAAAGAAAACTTTGAACAGAGAAGTTCGTTTGGGGGGGTTGGGGGGGGGGGGGGGGTTTGGGGGGTGGGGGGGGGGGGGGGGGGGGGGGGGGGGGTTTTGGGGGGGTGGGGGGTGGGGGGTTGGGGGGGTTATGGTGAGGGTGTTAGTGGTGGGGTTTCAGCACGGGCTTCAGCAGACATTGACAACAACGTACCTGGCTTTCTGCAAACGTTGACGTTCTGCCCAAGAACTTTGAAGAGGGGGGTTGTGGGTGTTAGTGGCAGGGTAGGGACGGTACTTCCCACCCAAAAACTTTGAAAAGTAGGGTAGGGGTTGTAGTGTTAGGGGGTGCTTCGTCCAAGTTGCTCTCGATACTGGTAGGGTGATGGTCCTGAGTGCTGGTCACACTGGGGTGTTAGTGGCAGGGTAGGGACGGTGCTTCCCACCCAAAAACTTTGAAAAAAAGGGTGGGGGTTATAGTGTTAGGGGGTGCTCGTCACTGCTGTCTGGTGACTGCCCTCGATACTGGTAGGGCGATGATTCTGACACTGAGGTAAGATAGTAGGGATAGGGGGTGCACTGGGAGCATTAACGTGGGGAAGGGTAGGGAAGGTGGACTATCCTGTCAGGACAACCACCGGCTGCCGCTGCCAGCAATCACTGTGGGTCTAGTCCTTGGCCTCAACAAACACCATGGGCTTAAAAAAAAAAAACATGGGCTAAAAAAAAAAAAAAAAACAAAGAAAAAAAAGATGCGCTACAGCCAACCGGTGGGGAACCGGCCCGGTCGACCGGCCGGTAGGACCGGTCCGTTTCTGGTTGGGGGAGGACCCCCCGGTCCTACCGGGTTTTCAGCACTGATCGAAAGCCAAATGGACAAAACAGCAATCGCGACCTAGCTCATTTAGTACACCCATGAGCTGTTGAAATACAGACCCAAGTTCAAATCCAGAAGCCGTCAGATGAACAGAATAAATTTCAATAAAATCATTCTGAATTACACGTGAGAGGCAGCTCGACGATGCTATCTCAGGGCCATCCACCCTTTCAAGATGTTTTTTCCTTTTTTAAATTAGCTCGACGACGCTACCTAAAGGTCATCCACCCTTTTAAGATTTTTCTTTTTTCTTTTTCAAAGAGGGAAAAGTAAGAGGCCAAGCCGCCTAGCTCAGTTGGTAGAGCACGAATGCAGCAGTTCGGAGTGTGTGGGTTCAATTCCCCCAGTCACAACAGAGCCCCCACACCTCCTGAGGCACGCTGCACGTTCACCAGCTGAGATAGTCAGCTTGTCCTCCTGGTTGGTTGGTGGGGAGTGCCACCCGTTGCCAGGGGTTAGGTCCAGCCCTGCGGGATAGGCTCAATCCTGAGGGGATAGGCTCAACCCATAACCCCTGGTGTAGCTTTGCAGCTGGAGGGTAGATCGAAGTGTGCATAATTCCTGGTTAGGTAGGTAGTGGGAGGTAACATTGAGAGACAAATATCGCTTAGTTTCAAAAGAAAAAAAAAAAAAAAAAAAAAAAAAAAAGAGAAAAAAAAAAAAAAAAAAAAAAAAAAAGGAAAAAAAGGTTAAAAAAAAAAAAAAAAAAAAAGAGGAAAATAAGTAAACAGTAATCGCTCTCTTGGCAAGAGAGCCCTTTGCCGACATCCATTCTCGTCATGCATGGTGAGTGCACATCCTCATCTTTGCATGATGATAGGCAAGGTGAAAGATAGATTGCAAGCTGACTGAGGTGGAAGAGAGGGAGGGTAATGTTGACTGCATCTATAAAGACAAAACCCAGACGCACACACTACCGTCTTCACCGGAATAGAATGCCCAGTCATTATCATTGTATTCAGACAGAAAGTGCCCAAATACAGCCGCTATAATGACCGGGTGTTCTATTCGGGTGAAAACGGTAGCGCACAGGAGAGAGACAAACACAGTCTGTGACATCTGAGCGCAGACGGCAAAAGACTGCAGAGATTTGAGATTCGCAAAAAAGGTTTTCTCAATCGCCGACTGTAGTTGTAGTGTAGAGAAGAATTCAAACACGCAACAATAAACACACGCATGGAAAACAAGAGGGCAACTATCGCGTGTCTCTTTATACCTCACACTATAGGGTAGGGAAAGAAATACAACGGTCCCCCATATGAGAAAAAAACACAGCTGTATTTTTCCTTTGAAAAAAGGAGGAAAAAAAAAGAGGAGAACTATCGCAGCATGGTGGAACCCCTTCCAAGATCACCGTACCAAACAACTAGTCGCGATAGTTGTCCTCTTTTTCACTAAAGCGACCGCGCTCTCTCCGCAAGCCAATAAAGTGTTGTTAGGCAGGCACAACAAGCTAAAGATAACAAACTTTCGCCAAGGAGGGTGTTATATGTTCAATCTACTCGTCGTCTACAAATCGACCAGCAGCACTTACGCAAGCTCAAGAAAAAGAAACCAAACCTGAAGTGAGGACATCAATGCTCTAGCCAAACAACGACTCACTGCCAGACATGGCTAGTAGTACATCATCCAACAATCACAAGATTCAAAAAGTGAAGAACTTACAAACAGATCAAATCTGACTAACAAAACACCGTGCGCTGAAAAATGACCAGACCAGACAATCCCTCGTCACTCGAGTGCGATCTCAACCCATAACTGAACCCTGAGCTAGTACTGAGCAACGAGTACACTAACCCTAAACCTAACCAATGGAGATAAACAGCTGACAGGTAAGACCAAAAAGGCTGTGGCTTGCTCGCTTGCTTGCTTTGTACACGAAAAATGTGCTAATTTATTTATAGATCAGCACTCGCTTTCTTTCAGTCCTCAAGAATCCGGCATCTACGGCACTACCATGAAAAACTTATGAACCGCCTACACTACCGGTGCAAGCCGAAAAAGCGCAGGACTTCTACGAAAACTATTAGAAAACTCAAAAATGTGCCAATGGCTCCCAGCACTCCTATGTCTCAGGGCACAAAAAACCAGCAACTAACTGCTAAACAGGTGACATCAACATTAACGACTAAACCCGACGAAGCTTAAAAAACATGGAAAAAACATCTCTGCTACCCCCTGCACTGTCTTTGCCCCAGCGCTTGCAAATAACGCCGACAAAGCTAAAAGACTGTGCACACAGGCAGGCGCCTCTGTTCCCCAGCATTGGCTTTGCCACAGGGCGTGCAAATCAGACAACTGCTAGACAGCTGTCATGTCATTACTAAATCAACAGTCAAATTTGTCCTTCCATAGCAGGCGGTACGAAGCATTGCTGGATGGTCACATTTGCCTTCCAGAGCCAATGCGCAGAGTGTTTCATGCACATGCGTCAACAACGAGCGGTGCATGCTGATGACACCCATCTCCCCTGAAATCGCCCTCGCTAACTGCAAGGGGAAAAAAAACAACTATGTGCAGGCGGCGTGGATCTCAGCATGCGAAGCAACGTGTACACCTGATTGTGCTAAGTCACACTGGCATCTCCACATGAGTCTAATGCCATGGGTGAACCACCCCTCTAAGCCTTTCTCCATGACCGATGGCCTTAATCAATCGTGCAAGGGTGTTCTTCACACAACCGCCTTCGCCCGAAAAGAACGCCCAGTCATTACACCAGTATTTAGGCCAGATCCAGAGGGAATGACGGGGCATTATCTTCGGGTGAAGACGGTCGTTACTAGTTACCCACTTCAAGCTTCCTATGAGGCATCGGAGGCACGGAGATGCCTCCCATGACTGTTAACCCTGCTTCTCAGAGCGCAACAATTCACGTGCCAGCTCCGTCCCCTCAAGAAATTCTTTGGTAACTAACCGACAGCAACAGCAAGTTCGTCATCGGTCGCCTGCATAGGCAGCCCGCACAACTCCGGTGCACTGTATCGCACATCGAAGGCACCACCTTCGCCGTCTGTATCCGTTTCGATTCATCCAAAACTCGGTGCACTCACTCTATATGCACATCCGGATGTTTTAGAAGCATGCCTGGCCATATCCCTAGACGGGTGCATCTCCTTGTGTGCATCCAAAAGCGCATATGCAACAGGGACACACAGAAAAGAAAGGGAAGCAAAATGAGCATACACGGTGACAAAGGAGGGGAATCGGAGTCCAAACTGCACAGCAACTCCGGTTATTAGCTGATAAAAACAGAGCCTTCGGTCTTTGTACTGAACCAAATCGAGCTCAGAGTGCAATAAAGATAAAGAACGGCTGGCTGCGGACAACGGAGTGAGAATAGCAGTGCTGACAGACAACACAAAATGCTGAAGTTTGCGGTGGAGGACCAGGAACCGATCAAAAGGCCGGAGCAATCCCTATACCCCCAACAGCAGCTCATAGACATTCCCAGTGTTGTCCCGGCCAGTTCGCTGCAAACCCTCAAAGCTGCGCCGGCTTCCAAGGAATTCGCAACGCTTCATCACGGGTGCAACATGCTTCTGCTGATCTTTAACTGGCAAACAGTCGGTGACCAGCGGGCCGACATATGCGGCACGCAGCCGATCGGCATATTTGGAGTCCGTGTGGAGGGCGACCCTGACTTCCTCCGTCGACATGCCCTCCTGATAAAAAGAGTAAATTGCTTCGAGAATCTGATGCCTTGTGAACCCGGCCTCCGAGAAGAATTGGCGGGAACTCAATCCCATCTCTGCAAACCGATCAATTGGGAAAAGAATCGTCAAAAAGGGTGACGGGAACACAACTTCCATCCTCTCGCTTTCCAACATCGATCGCACTTTGCCAAAGTCGTCCATGATTCGTGTTGCATCTTTCTTTACGCCATTTCCAACGAGACCCCATGCAGGACTGTTATTGGTCAGCTCCGAATCCAGACTGAAGTCCGCCGCTGGATCACCTATAGACCCTTCTGAACCTATTCCCAGTGCTTCTATCCTCGTCATGGAGAACTCTATGTACTCGGAACTCTCATCGCACTCGCGGAATGTTTTCGCGGTGGTTGGCAAGTCTGTCACCGCCCAGCACACAGTCTCCATCAATAGGGCAGGGGTAATTGGTCTAGGCAATGTCCGGCAGGGTTGCTTGCGAGGCCCTCTCCTCCGTCTCACTCCAGCCTTTGCAATCTGGACTTCTTGTTCCCGTTCCCGCCGCAGCGGAGGCATCTCCACCTCCCTTCCATACGTCCCATTCGCTCCCCTCTTTCCCTCATCTGCCCTGCACTCCCCATTGCCTGCATGATTGGCCTCTTGTGCCCTCGAATGCAACACGGATGCAAGATGCATCCCAAGATCCGCAGAGAACTGCACCTGATTCAGCAACACCTTGCTCTTCATAGACCGGAGGACCCAAAGTGGTGTCACAACGTTCACACTTCTCGCAGCGTATCTGTACAATGCTTCTGCCTCACACACCACATGCGTTGCCCTGCACCCAACGTACCACCAACCTGTCTCTGAGCCCCCACCCCTGGCAATTGTCTCCTTGACCTTCTGCTGCACATCCTCTGGCACGTCTGCATCGACATAGAAGCAGAAGCCGTCAAACAGGTCGGTTCTGTCCTGCCCGTCACTGCTGCCATCTCGCACTCTGTCATACTCCGGCAAATCCACTTGCTCCAGTGATGCGTTTCTCGACTGACGATTGCCATCAGATCCGCTTGCTCTGGAAGAAGGAGCAGAAAGACAGTCTTCCCCGCTCGAAAGTCCACCGGCATCACGGCTCTGGCCCCAGTTACACTTCACGTCCTGAATAGTTTTTACCGTTACCGGGTACTTGCTTTCGTCCATCCTCGCATTGCGTTTCACGGAGTCGAGGAGCCAACGCAGCGTTACCATCTGCAAACCTTTCTTCGCGCCATGCTTGCAAGCATGCTGAAACTTGCGACCCGCCATGCTCTGTACAAGCAGATGGGTACAGCGAGGATGAAGAGCAGGGCTGTATTGACCCCCCAATCTTTCTGTCTCCCTCTGAACCCACCGGCGAGCATCCTTGGAAAGGCCCGTAACACAGACCACAAGCCCATCGAACAACGTATTTGCCTCCGAGGAAGAGCACGTGGAAGAAGCCAAGGCCATCGAACCGCTCCCCTGCCCCTTCGCGTCCACGGCCTTGCCATTCTGTTCGCAATCATTGACATTATCGTCACCTTCCTCGGTGATCCGTGCCGCCTGCTGACCCATCGCCACCTGACAGAGACGGACGGCACGGCCGATACCTCCAGTTAACGATCGTAGGAATAACAGTGGTCCGTCCATGATGAGACAAGGAGGACCAACTACAACCACCTTGATTCGTCCATCCATACATGTGTCCGAATCTGGCCGTCACCCCTGATTGTCTGTCGTCAATACAGTTTTACACAAGGAGCTTTTCAAGACACTCATTGCTAGTACCAGACCACTGCAGCTCACATTATCTTTACCAGAACACACCATATTTCCTGCGAAACTCATTCTCAATCCCAACACTTCCAAGGCTGTGCAGTAGTCCTGCGACAAAACTACCACATGGCAGGCATGCTCTTCCCACACACGTGCTCGACACATTATGAATGCACCATCCCAGAAACACAGCTTCTATCCGGAAGAATCTGCATAAACATCATACTCTTCTTTGCAGCTGGGTGTCATATAACAATGCATGGACTACGTACAGACACAGGGAAAGCGGCTGGGTGTCATAGCAGTGCATGGACTTGGGCAGAGGCCGAGCTACCAAACGCACTGACCCTTCGTTACGGCTGGGTGTCATAACAGTGCAGGGACTACGTACGTACACACAGCTTAACGAAAAAACTTGAGCACACGCCGAGCTGCCAACGCACCGAACTAACTACCGTGCAATTACACCTCGTGAGGCACATAGGAATCAATCACAACGACAATAACGTAAAGCTATACGACAACGCGCCAATCCAATAAAGTAAAACGTATATCAATAAAACAAGATAATAGGACGTGATTTCGCTGAAGACAATGGATACTAAGGAACAATACCAACACCCCTCTCCCCCTCTAGGGCCAAAACCCCTCCATCTCCCCTTTAACCCCC